TTTATTTAAAAATGCTACTTATAAAACATCACTTCTTTTTACATTTTAAAAAAAATTTCTATAAAGGGAAAATAAAGAAATATGCAGGTTAAGCAGAAAAGAAGAGGACAGGAAATCAAAAAAGAAAAAAGAAAGGAGAAAGACAAAAGTTTATTAAAGATGACTGACAAGATATTACGATTAAGCTATTTATTCATATACAATTGTGTTTTCCAATGTTTTTTTTCTATGGAAAAAAAATGTTTAAAAAATAGAGAATTTTATATATATAAAAGAACTTAAAATTATTCTGTAGAATTCATTTAAAATGTTTTTTTTGAAAAAATTTTAATAAGATTTCAGCAGTCCTATTGTTCTATTTAATTCCTTGAGCGCTTTTTTTATTTATTAGCCCTTATGTTTCTGTTTTTTTTTTAAATTTTGAACTGAATTTTTATAATTTTGTATCTATAATGATGCGAAAATGAATTTTATTAAAAAAAAACATCGAAAACAGAAAAGACAATGTTTATATTTTTTAATTTGAATAAAAAATATAGATGAGGAATCGAATCAACTGAATGATAATTTTTTGGAATTCGAAAAAGAAAGGTTGAATTTATTTATGAGAATAACATTTAGAAAATCTTTTCTTGAAGAGTGCAATTTTGAAGTTAGAATAAATAAAAAAACATGAATGATTTTTAATACATCAAATAAGTATTTTTATTAAAAATAAAGTTTGAATTATAATAATAATAATAATAATATATTATATTTATAGAAAATTGTAAACCGGCGCCGAGGTTCGAGCGTGTTCTGATGGATATATGTTTTCCGCCAGGTGTATAAATAACATTTGTCAGGTTACTGACTGAGTAATTAGGAAATGAATATTGTGTGTGAACTATCCAGTCGAATTAGTGTGAATTTTTGTGCATCGATGATTTTAATTTTGATTTAAACCAGACGTTAAAACTTAAACGATACTAACAAGGTATTCATTAAAAATGGTTAATCATCTTTAGTTATCTTTTAAATGCTATTTGTTCTTGTTAAGTATTTATTTTGTTGTAATTAAATATTGTTTTATTTTAACATTGAAGTCTTGAGTTATTATTTAATTATGTATCAGCCACCATATATTGCATCAAAATATATATATATATATATATATATATATTAAGAAATCCTTTTTAAAAGAATAAAATATTTAAGAATAAAATCAATATCAGAGATAGTGCGTAAAAATGCAATATATTAAATATGCAAATTTACATAGAATTATATATGATAAAAAGTAAATTTATCCCATACATATAAAAAATAATAATAATTTATTTCTTCATATTCATTTTTGAAAACAACAGATTAAAATTTCGCTATAATTTATAACACACATGTAATGAAATGTAACCTATTGAAATTTAATTTTTGTATTTTTATAATATATATATATATATATATATATATATATATATATATATATATGTCGTTGTCAATATTATGAATTGGGCAAAATTCCGACAATTAAAGTCGAATTTACCAATTTAAAAATCAATTTCCATGAATCTCTCACGTACATTCATATCTGACTCAAAGAGCATTCAAATATAAACAATGACGTCATCACATCATGAAAATGTCGTTTCTTGATTAATCGACCGCTCTTCTGTTGCACAAATCTTTTTAAAGGCACGCCAAGCTAAATGACTTTTTTTGTATAGAACAGGTTCGAGCTTTTTTAAATAGAATACAGGACGAATTTTTTTTCATATGAAAATTTCTCGGATATTCAGGCCGTTAAATGTTGTTTAATACAGTTTATTATAAAACAGGGAATTTACTTAAACATTTGTATCTATAAAAGAATGTATAAATATAAAAAATTTAAATATGTTATATATATATATATATATATATATATATATATATAAGCAAATGTAAATGGATATAGATCCGACAGAATGAAGAAAAATTTGGAAAAAAACAAAAAAAAATCCTTAAATGCAATTATATTTGTTGTTAAAAAATGAATGAAATGTCGACGTTCTGAATTTTCATTTTAACTTTAAAGTTTTTTCAAGACAATATTCATTTTGGATAAGACTTGTTTATGTCCATCGTCTTTGTCAAATTGAACTGAATTGTATTTTAATGAATATTGAACCGAACATTTTATTTCGTCCATTAGTAAATAGATTGTTGCAGTTCCATTGCCATAATCCTTAGTTATATATCAGTTATAAATTTTTTAACTCAACTGGTCAAGTTTTGTTAACCATAAATGTTGAATATTGAAAAAAAAATCTTTTTGGGTCAAGTCACTGGATCTAACCAATTTGTATTTTCTTTTTGTTATTTCAATTACAGAATATTGGTATGATGTATGTAAAAATGTCCTCGTTGACTCTGTTGTTTAAAAATCAGCAGTTATTCGATTTGGTTCCGAGAATTTCGTTTGTGAGGATGCGTTTGAAATGGTCTGTTTTTGATCTTCTTGGGACGCTGGCAGACGTGTATTTCTATACTGCGGCTGCTACTTGTGTACTCTTCCCTCCACGTGATGGAAAGGTCCTTTTTATAATCACGATGGTATTATGACATATCAATCTTTTCTATCATCACTGATGGCAAGGTTATTTTTAGAATGATGAAATATCCTTATTTTTTATCATCACTAATGGTAAGGTTATTCTTAGAATGCCATTCAGCCAGGTTTTGAGAAAAATGTTCCAACATGAATTCTTTCATTATTCGCTCAAAAACACAAACACGCACTTGATAAAGAATCAAATGAGATTAAAATTCTCTCGGCGTAAAAGATAAACATGGCATGAAAATAAGTGAAAGAAAATGGTTAAAGTGAAGAAAGAAAGTTTTTTTTTTTCACCGCAATCAAGGCGGGAAGCCACCAGCACGCAAAGGGTTACAGAGAGTTGGAGCGAGAGCAAAGAGGAGTTATAGAGGAAAGGATGAAGAGAAGGCTAGGGGATAGATTAAGGCATCTAGAGACGTCAATTGACATTACATTTGAATAGTTAGAGATTATAGCTATCACGGAAACAGGAAAAGGGGAGGGAGTTCCACAGGCGAGATGTGCGAGACATGAAGCTATTGGAATAGAAGAGACGTCTACATTTAACAGTTTTGATAGTGAAAGGGCGTGAGCGAGATTCCAGCCTAGTAGAACGCTTGAATTCATGAAGTCTGGGAACCAGTGAAAGCAGCTCATCGGAGCAATTACCATGAAAGTATTCGTAAAAAGACAGTGGGAGGCAACGGCACGTCTGTGAGAGAGCGAATGCAGACGAGATGCCAGATCAGGGCCAATTACATTGCATACCCGTCTCTGGATCTTATCAAGAACCTTGAGACAAACATAAGGGGCACTAGACCATATATGGCAGCAATACTGCATGCAAGGGCGAATGGTTGATTTGTAGATATGAAGGATCGACTCCGGCGAGAAAAATTTCCTGGCGTGGCACAGGGAGCAAACTTTCGTTGCGGTGGAAGAAGCCATTGACTCAATGTGTTTGTTCCATCTCAGCTCAGCAGTCAATATGAGGCCGAGTAGTAGCAAAGAGGAACTCTCGAGAAGTTGAGAGTCAGATATTCTAATGCGGGGGTGGGCATGGATGGTTCTCTGTGGTGAGCAGTTTAAGACGCGAAGACAATAACTACAGAAAACAAATGGAGATCTGAAATATTCTGATGAATAAATATTGAGTCAGCGTCCACTTGCCGACAGCAACGCCATGTGTCTGAATGTAGATCCCCACTGGCAATCCAAATGGGTTAGGCTAATTACCGATGGGACATGAAGAACGTTCCAATTGGTATCTTATTTGGGGTGGCGGGAGGAGATCAATCCCAAGTTGGGGCTATATTTTACGATTACATTCTATCAACATTGTTTAAATGAAGTTTTAGATAGAAACATTTTCATTTTTTCATTATTAGACACTCTGCATAATACGCCAAGGTCATTTGCAACGTTTGTAAATTCTTACTATACAGAGTTATCGGCCTTCACTGATGACAACAAGTGGCAGTGTAATTTTGTTAATGTCGGACTGTTCTGAGATGTATACGCTTCGCCGTGGCAAAAAGAAGCACTAATGGAAGAATAGAATAAAATAATAAAAAACAATGGATACACCTTTACTCCTGTCCAAAAGGCAGGGGAGTGATGTGAACCGGACGATAGGGAAATGTGCCTACTCCTATTCAAAAAAAAATAGTAAGTTAGATAGCAAAGTTTAAGCGGAGACGTTAGAAATAAAGATTTGAAGCAGGCTTTAGAAGGAACCGAAACCCTAATCCTAAACAGATTACAAAGGATAAACCTCTACTCCTGTCCAAAAGACCGGGGATGTGTGTGAAAAAAAAAATTATAACTATTGTCCGCTCAACATTGTTGCAGTATAAACCACAAGTCGACTCTGAGTGTTAAACACAAATGTGCCTGAGCTGGTGTCTTCAATAGGGATTAGCTAACCACTTCTCCCCAGTAGCTATACTCGGATTCAGCCATAGAATATTTTCTTTTGTCGAAAAAATTCTTTGCACATTTGTTTTTGAAACACCGCCTCGTCTTGCAACCTAAAAATTGTCAAATTTGAAAATTAATAATGTCTGAAGAAGAGAGACCCCAACAACGACTCTCTTTTCATAAATCTCTCTCACAAAAAAAAGATGAGAAGAGATGAAAGATAGGCCTTAAGTAACAAGGTGGCAGATATGCGCATCCCACCACTTCCGGTAAAAAGATTACAATAATCAGTGCTCTACGATTATGGGACCATGCGAAATTCTGTCTTTTCATTTCAGCCTCTGCGATGATGGCACCATGTGAGACCCTGTTGTATGTTTCACCGTCTACGATGATGAGACCATGCAGAGACCTGCCATCGTTTCACCCTCTAAGAAGATGGGACAACAGTCCTGTCTTTATTCCTTACCCTCTAACATGGTAGGACCACGCGGAATCCTGCTTTTTCATTTCACCCTCTAAG